GATTTCTCTTATCCCAAGAATTGTTCGGCAGATTCTCTTGGTGATCCTGACATCCTGATGCGGTATTCCTGTTTTTTTACCGGCTTTGACTTCCTACTTAGAGTTTGTTCCAAAGGTGCTCTACGCTTATGGTGAGTTTCGGGGTTTCAATAATGAGAGACTCGGCTAAGGTGTGCGTTGCTGTTTATTCTGCCCGTGCCAGCTGCGTCGATTTTTTTCCATTCATTCCATGCTCTGGAATTTATTAATTGTAAGGACAGCTTCAGTGGTGTTTCAACCAAGTCATCTTTAAAATTCGCAAGATCTGTCTGTCTCCATTAACGATGATTTTGTGAATAAAGGACAGCAGGAATAGAATGTGGTGCTCGAAGTAAACTTTGGACGCTGGACGATCTGTTGAACTATCTAAAACTCCGTATTAATCCGTCGATGATGGCATTCTCGATCTCTTCGAATGGTCAACGCAAATGAGTAGGACGATCTGTTGAGCACTATCAGCACTCCATATTAATCAGTCGTTGATGGCATAGGCGTTGAATGTATGAACTTCACCCTGTGAGTGAATTTTTTTTCTGTCTTTTGTATTTAAATTGTAACCGAGTAATGATACTATATTAATATACGGTACAACCGCCTAAATTGTGAGTTATGTAATGTTAAAAAAAATTTAGTACACCTAACATGAGTATAAGATTTAAAATGATATATATGTTAATTTACATCTTAAGGTTAATTTGTAGGGGACTGATCAGTTTACCTAGTTATCATATGTTTGAATATTCTAGAAATTAATAAATGTGTTTTGATATGTATTTATGTTTCATTTGTTTAATTTAGTGTAGTTTCTGTGGTCTGTCATGTCCCTCCATTTGTTTGAGCCGGGGGGGGGCTTTTAAGAAACATGGTGTTTACTTGAATTTGGAGTTATTGATTTTCCCTTTACATAGGTTACTCACAACGCAAACCTAAAAAGTTAAATTGTACTATACCACTATACGAATGTTTATAAGAATGTCGAAATGATATATGAATATTATGAAATAGATTTTGAATGTGAATGATCTGATTTTGATTTTTTTTTTGTTAATTTATCTGGCACCACAGTGAGTCAGTTAAGTTTAAGTTATAATGGAATAAAGTATTTAAAATTACAAACATAAATTTTTTTATTTAACATTACATAACTCACAATTTAGGCGGTTGTACCGTATATTAATATAGTATCATTACTCGGTTACAATTTAAATACAAAAGACAGAAAAAAAATTCACTCACAGGGTGAAGTTCATACATTCAACGCCTATGCCATCAACGACTGATTAATATGGAGTGCTGATAGTTCAACAGATCGTCCTACTCATTGCGTTGACCATTCGAAGAGATCGAGAATGCCATCATCGACGGATTAATACGGAGTTTTAGATAGTTCAACAGATCGTCCAGCGTCCAAAGTTTACTCGAGCACCACATTATTCCTGCTGTCCTTTATTCACAAAATCATCGTTAATGGAGGCAGACAGTTCTTGCGAATTTTAAAGATGACTTGGTTGCAACACCACTGAAGCTGTCCTTACAATAAATGAATTCCAGAGCATGGAATGATGAAAAAAATCGACGCAGCTGGCACGGGCAGAATAAACAGCAACGCACACCTTAGCCGAGTCTCTCATTATTGAAACCCCGAAACTCACCATAAGCGTAGAGCACCTTTGGAACAAACTCTAAGTAGGAAGTCAAAGCCGGTAAAAAAACAGGAATACCGCATCAGGATGTCAGGATCACCAAGAGAATCTGCCGAACAATTCTTGGGATAAGAGAATCGAAATTCTTCTGCTGAGCTCTATGCCTTAAACCACCACAAATTCTCGCCAGCTAAAAGTCGAGAGAAAAATCATACCCTCTGCCGGCTGTTCACGCGGCTCGCGAGAAGCAAGACCCGAAGGGTCAAGCCCCCGCTATTTCTCCTCTTACTCTTCTTGAAAATCAGAATCAGAAAACAGAATCAGAATGAACTCTAGCCTGGTGCAAGCACCCAGGAAATCTCGGTTTCTCCGCCACTGTGAGTTCATAGGCTTTCAAAAAAATCATAAAATTAAATCTTACCAATCAAGCAATTTTAAGTTATCTAAAATGACACACCCATGACGAATCAAACACCAGAAAATCTGACAATGAAATCCGAAAACATCTGCACATATAACGTGAGAAAAGAAATAGACCCCCCAACTAACAAGCGAAACTAGCTTTTACGAGTATCCAATTATTAGCCACCCCCACTGTCTTGAAGTAAGAAAACTGCAAACTTTAAACAAAGCGATTTCCGTTTCCCACGCATTAGCTGAAAAGATCCTACTACCTTCATTGTTGGAAAGGCCATAAACCAGATGTGTGTCCTCGCAACCGTCTCTCGCCCTTGTTACAATTCCTACTCAAGAATAATGAGTTAAATAAAACCTTAAGAGCTTAAGAATACTTTTTTTCCAGATTAAAATACACATGAATACAAATAAAAATATTAGAATAATAATAATTTGAAACACATATTAATAATTGAAATTCTCGACATAACAGTATCGACATACTGAATACCTTCAAATTACTTGGATACTTTTACTTTTGATGTAACCAATACTTGGCCACTAATGTAGGTTAATAATGGGTCACTAATGTTGGTTAACAAACAAAGGATATTTTAGAGGGTGCTATTGGTGGAAAAATTTCACACATTATCATTTTTGAAATTCTGCATTTTTCCTTCCGTTACTCATGCTTTTAAAAGAAAACATAAGAAGTTCATTCCCTGAACTCATTATCAAAACAAGATTGCTTTACGTGCTTATTAAATTCATTTTTAATTAAATACATATAAAATTAGGCAACATTAAATCTAGCTAAAGCATTACAAAGATAACAAATAATATCTATTTTCTATACTGAGAGCAAAAATGAGATGTGGTACTACATTTTTAATATAATAATTATAAAAATTGCAATTAAAGAATGATTTAGTAATATCTGTAAAATTACCACCACTTCCACTAGGCCTTGAACTTTAAAAACAACTAAAATAAACCGATCAGTTCTGTTACACAGTTTTTGTTTTTGGCAAAACACGTCTGAATAAGAATAAAGTAATTATATTTTGAGCTTAATGGTTCATAAATTCGAAATAATTTTTAACCAAGAAAGATATATGTTTGAGTTTCTGTTGAGATGAAGCATATACGTTAAAAGGAAAGAAAAGGGAAAATAAAAGAAGAAAATTTCCATCCCCCCATCACCGCAGTGCCTGGCAGGCATTATACCTGTAATGGCGATCTTTGCTGACCACTTGCTGGTCCCTTCCATTATTTGATCCTCGCCCTGCTGCAGAGCGTCGATATGCGTGTCGGGGTCGATGCCAAATGTCATCCTGCAAACACGACACGAAGAATAAAAGGGTTGCCATACTTCACGTTTCGTTATCAGCTCGAAAGTACAACTCAAAATATGTGGAAATTAGTTTGAAAAGCAATCAACGAGTCGAGTCCTTCAATACACAGAAGTCCATGACAGCAGACATTTTAAAATTTTATTTTTCTTTGTAGATATACAGACAGAAATAGTTTTGATGAAGTTTTGGATAACAAAGTGATTGCTCATTAAATATTCGAGAAACAACTGCTAATGGTTGTCTAATGATTGTCAAAACAATTAGCTTCCAGGAATAGGAGGAACCTCAATCCATCAAGTTAGTTCATCTGTAAAAAAGTCTTGAGCCATTGTCTACTTCAAGGATCAGGGGATCAAAATTTTTAATTACAAGGTTTAGGTTACGAAATAATTACTGCCAATTATTTAAAAAAATACAGGACATATTTAACGTTAGGGAAATTTCGATCATCAAATGCTTTCTGATCTTGCTTTTATATTTTGATTTAAGTCTATCTAAACTAGCCTGATATTAAGAGGTGACATTAGTTTGATATTAACTTACTTCCTTGGTTAAAAGCCTCACAGCAACCACGTACTTAATGAAAATAATCATTTGAATTATCGCAAGCTTTGATAAGCCGATTAGTCATTCAATCCTGTGAGTTCTTGAAGGAGGAATCGCCGTATATTTTGATCGAAAACATACATATACGCGAACCATTTTCTGAAGATATATTTCATATCTATATAAGAAAGATAGAGAGAATTTCAATTTCTACATCTAAGCTACTTTTTACCATAATTTACTATAATAACTTACAAAATCTTTTAATGGGATTAAGAAATTTCTTTAATTTGAATTTTTTAGGTGTATCACTTGGGTTTTATAGTGACATAAAATGACGAAAATACATTTCATACATAAAAAATGTTTCAGAAGACATAATTTAAAAAGTAATTTCGTAAAAATATACGAAGGAACTAAGAAATTTCACTGTCTGAGCAAAGCTGAAGTCAGCACCAGAAAGATTCAGCGAAATTAGACAAATAGAAAGCTAACCTCAATAATGGTACGTATCTTTAAATAAAATGATTTTAGATTTTTTATCAAAGATTAATGTGAATTAACATTGCGTATTATTTGATTAGCTTGTCCCAAAATATTGTAAAAATGAGTTTGAGTATAGATCTATATGACATTACTTTCTGACACTTGATGATTTTTTACTATATGGCAAGAAGAGATCAAATGAGCAGACAGCTAAAATCTTCAAAAGAATCGTTTGCTGTTATAGTTGGAAAAATAGATAATTTTAATAAATTTTCCGAAAAATATTATTCCAGATATTGAAATTTAAAAAAGGCCAAAATTTTTAATTTCATTATTTGTACCACTGTTAAAGCAGATGACAACGCCGTGATACATGGCAACCCAAAATCACATAACAACAACAACAAGACAACATAACATGCTACTTCACAAACACAATACAAATATATATAAACACTTAATTGAATGCACATATAACGGTACACCGAGCACACAGACAGGCGAAAGCGGCTGGCCTGCTTCACGGGCCACCTACCCGTGATGGCAATTTTGGCCGACCATTTGGAGGTGCCGTCCAGGACGCTCTGTTTCACCGCCTTCATGTGCCCCGCGTGGATGGTGTTTTCGACAGAAAATACGCCCCTATAGTCGGATATATGAAATAATACTTGAAATACATTAGCATTAATCACCGAAAAACCACAATAAGTAAGAATGCAATGCACCAGAATATGAATACGCAACATTTGTCAAAGAGGAAAATAATTATTTGTATTATCTGAATAAATGTAAAAATTTAACCATGAAACCGTCAATTACTTCTGCTTTTAATTAGAATACAACTTAACAGAACATTTTTCTTTTAGTAAAGCAGATTATATGTTTATAACGTAACATATAATGTTACATTTATAACATTATTATAATGTTTATACTCTAATTTGCCCAAATACATTAATTTGGTACAAATGATTATTTCTTAGGCAATTAACACAGATGTTTAGAAATCTACGTGACAGAATTTTCCAATTATTATGCACATTTCCATTGCAGTACTTTCATGGATTGATATTAGAAATCACAGTGATCATTTTAATGTACTACAGTGTACAGAAAGAGGTAAGGAAGTGTAGTAGTTAACAGTAATGGGAAGAGAAATATTCACAGATTTTTTACGTACATTAAACATTCTCCATATATTGGCTTTAGCGTTTTATTGGAGCTTAGACTGGCACGTTCACGTTTTGCCCTATCCATCTAAAGGATAATGTGGTAATCTATTGTTTCAATAGCACTAAATCTTAGAAGAAGGGCGGTAGAAGGACTCGATTCTTGATAACCAAGTAGAATGTTGTCAATCGTCGGCAGTAGATGGCCAGTCCATTTGTTAGATAAACTGTAATCAAAGCAAGCTACATTTTGAAAATTAGGATGAAATGCCACTTAGTTGCTTCGAGATTAAATGGAATTGATGAAGTATGTTAATCATACCAGCCATCCTGCACGTAGACAGGTAATAGAGGATGGATTGGATAACAGGATGAACATTTATCGGCTTATAAAGAGAGGACACATAAGAAATGTTTAGGGCCTTTGCATATTTCTCTTTTCAGTACCATTAAGTAACTACTTTATCCAATCGTTTTGCCATACTATGTAGCGATCAGAAGATCATTATAATTCATCCTGTATTCTAGTCAACTGAATGAACTAAAATATTTATCAGTATCAACGATGGATGACTATGTATGTATCTTTTAACGTATGACAGAAACGTTCATCGTTCAGAGAATTTCCTCATATGCATCCAACCCAGATTTAAGCATACTATTTGCATACTATTATTAAGCATACTATATTCAGGTGAAGGATACTATTTACCTCGCTTTAAATCTTGCACTTTTATCTTCTATCAGAGAAGTTCAATTAAAAAAATTAAAAGATTACAACAAGATGGTATGCATCTTATCTTCACATTCTGAAACATTGGTCACCTAGTACGAAATAGTTGGGTGACATACAAAGGTACTTTAAATTATGTTTGCGTGCTCCAAATGTTATCGAATCACATGTCTGTGCTTCCATATAAAATCGTTGCCAAGATCAGATGGTTTGTTCGTTTTGAAAATGTTTACATACGTCTGACTTCCTATTCTTAAAATCAACATAGCATTTATTTTTATAACTGGTACTTTGAAAGTACTTAAACTATGAAATCCATAACATGTAGATATAGGATTTAGATATTGTTACTTTTATCGTAATGAAGATCAGTTTTAAAATTTTTAGCATTAGATTATTTTTGAAGATTCAAATGAAATTCAAAGAATAAATACAACTCTTGAATACATTATATAATCATAGTATAGTGCACTGCATTCGTCTTAATATCGTATAGCATTTTATTAACCTAAATATCTAGAGAAGGAGGTTAAATGATCGTAATATCCGAATAGTCGAATAAGAGATGAAATTTTAAATCAAGCGAATGAATCCCCACTTATGCTAGTGATCCGAAATGAAGAAAATAATAGCATATATTGTTCTTTGCTTCCTTTTTACAGCATTAGAAGCGTAATAGTGCGTTGAAAAAGTGCTTAAACTGCATTTCAAATTTCAATGGAAAAATATTTACATTAATTACTACTAACGCAACACCATTAACGTAAGATATACTACTAACGTAACTGCACAAATTATACCAATTATGCCTTTTCATTATTTATTTAAGGCAAGCAGCATACCGAAAATATGGATTAAAATCCATTTAAGATTTGATAAAGATACTTGTAAAACCTGAAGAATCTTGACATGAATCACTGTCTTACATAATCTTTGGAAAAGTTTTAAAAAGTATATCTTTTATATAATGATTTCAACATTATTCTTATTTTGTAATTTAAACTTTACAAGTTTCATTGTAGGTGTTTGCATTCTACGTAGGTACTTCGAATTATGAAGCGTAATTTGTTTCATTTTTTTCATCCAATTATACTTGAAAAAGCAAATTATTCGGTATTTAGCTTTCGACGACTGTGCAAAACAAAGTATTCGAATTCGAGCATTTTGCTTCCGTGATATTTATCATGTATATTATGTACATCATAAAAGTTTACAAAGCTTCTCTTGACATTATTTTTGATGTCTCAGAATTCAAAATGCTTTCCTTTCGAGGATTATTTATCCACTGCAAAGAAACACAACATCTAACAAATAATAAGAAAAACAGAAAATACAATTTTTGTAATTCTGAAGCCTAATCTTTATTGAAGCTGTAAGGAAACAAATCTCAAAGTAATATCTCAAAATGCTTCATCAAATTTGGCAAATTATTAAACAACCTTTTTTTAATCTGCTAGGAAACAAAATTTTTTTAACATTCAGCATTAAAATTAAGGAAAACATACCTTACACATATAAGGTAGCTTCAAACATGCTAAGAATTTGTTTATTTTAGAATACGGTTAAAATCATTTACGCTTTGCTTTCTTCAAACTTCATCTCAAAATATGTTTATGGAGTTTTATGAACGTGGTAAAAGAGGGAGGTTACACTTTAATGTTTTAAAACACAGCTTTATGTTTCAACAGTTCATAAAATTATTCGAAGCAATCTGGAATATACTTTCTAATAATCTTTAAAGAATTTAAATTCTAGTGGCGATAATAAATTCTTTGAACCTCTGTTTTCTTTTAAACCAGCATTTCAAGAGAGAAAATAGATAAAAATCACAATATTAAAAAACTTCTGTTTGAAAAAGGTTTAGCAAGAAAATTACATTACGTGCGTGAAACTTGCAATTATTAAAAATTGGCTGCCAGAGAGAATCATAACAACCAATTTCTTATATGGATATGGATATTGTGAAGTGTGATGGACACCCATTATTTAACCGTTTGCAATGTGGGGATTTTCCAGACGTACTAATTATCCATACAGCTATATTGTGTTGTATTTGGTGCGTTCGGTACCGCGGGTTTCCATACCAAAAAAATGTAAGTTCATGCCAGGACATCGTAGTTCAACAGACGTAGCAAAAGTATCTTTTGACTATTTGGCGCAATGGCTGCATTTTGAACAAAGGGCATTTTTGATCCGAAAGAAATACTTGTCAATCCACAATCGCCGTATTTATTAAATGTTAAAACAGCTATAGCATTTTATCTGATTCAGACAGTAGGCTTCAGAATACAGAAAAATCCAACAAGACCGATGATTTTGAGGCTACTGTAATGGAAAAATAAAGTGGAAAAGATAAAAGAATACAAAGTCGACGCTACAGACCTGATCAGTTCAAAGATCTCAGGTTTGTCTCTCTCCCTGATTTTCATTCTTTCTTTCATGGCCATGATGATGTTGTTTGCCTTATCGTCTGCTCCGTGCTTCGAACTCTTCTCCGCCGCACCTGAAAATGGTAATAATTTTACTTAATATAAAACAGCAATGCATTCGTGTATCAAAAAGTATAAATTGAATAAAATAAATTGTATCACTACGAATAACGTTATGAATCTTAAAAGGTAAAAATATTTATTGTAATTAATGTAAACTAAATACATGTGCATAGTGCAGCGTGAAAATTATGACTAGAAATATTTTATTCAAGACTGTTATTGCATATTTTCGCTCAGAATGTAATTCAATTGCTGACACAAAAAATATTCCAGACCACTTACGTTGCAGGCAATCGGCATTGAGCAAATCTTTGCATTTCTCATGGCACTTGACTCCACATTCTGTGCACCGCACCCCCTGCCTAGCTATGCCCCACAGGAGGCCTTCGCATTCATAACAATAAGTGGGCGAAGTGGCAGTCCAAGGTTGGAAGTTGTGAGGAGTTGTACTAGAAATGGGATAAATGAGGGCTTGGAGCGTTTTCTTATATACATGAGTTTTCTGGAAAGTAAGAAAAAAATGGGTCAATATATCATGAATAAATATCAAAAATAGAAAAACACATCTGATTGTTTCAGAGGCCAAGCGAAAACCAGCACAGTGGTCAATATAAGGCTTACAGAAGCTACATGAAAGAAGGGTTTCTTGGATCTGAACTACCATAGAAATTTCAGTATGAATTAGGTTTTTGAATATGCTGACGTTCACTCTATACGAAGGATTCGTTTGAGTATAGGATAACTGAAATGAATATAAATAAGTTTGATGAACGGATAAAAGAGAAATGAGGAACTGAAAGAGGTTCCAATACTGGCCTCTCGGATATCGAATAAAGAACGTAAGCATGTGATAAAATGATATGGGAATTCGTTTATTTCTTACGCCATTAACTCAACTGCTCTTTAGATTAGTGTGATATTTGCTTTTCAAGTGTGATGATTCAATTATTGTAAATAGAGTGACAGAAGTAATTAAAGAGATGAAAAGCGGTCTTTCTCAAATTGAGGAGTCCATGATATCAAGCGAGTCAAAATGCTTTTTATAGATTCTAAAAGTAGTAAAGGAAAGTTTTCATAGCTTAGAAGAGAAAATCACCAATAGAATGAATTAACTTTAGCTATAGTTAAAGGGAATTTTAAGAATTATTCAAACAATAGTATTTAAAATGAAAACTCCAGCATTTCATCCGGAACCAAGTATAATGATTATCTCTTTTATATTTTGTTGATTAAATCACCTTTCCGTGTTATTTGTCTCAATAAAAGCGTTTACACAACACTCTATCCATAAAGCTCAAATGAAATTTACTTCTGAATTTTAATGCGAACAAATGCGTCCAATACAATCTAATTAATGTGAAATGTATCTCGCAGCTTTAGAATAAGGATATAACTTTGAAAAGCTCCTGTGTTAATAGCTTGGATATTTAATTTCAGCGAGCTGTAATTATAGATTTTCTTGCAATAATCATATAGAAATTCCACTGACATTCACTGTTGAATCTTAAGAAGAAGAATTATGGTGGAGAATCGTTTCATTTGTTAAATACAATATGGTCATTCTAATGACTAAAGTTCCTTCATCTAGAAACAATCATATATTCCTTTGCAGCAATAGTAAACTTTTAGATATAGACAGCAGAAATATAAAAGGAACATTTATGCTGACCAAATATTTCATTTGCTAAATGCAACACTATTTGATCAGTCCCTTCTGTCTTTGGTGACAGATCAAAGTCTATTCTATCACAAATATTATGAAACGTTAACAAATCTAGATTTTATAAATTTCCTTCTTGTTTTCGATCTGGAGATTTTGAATTGCTAATATAAGTTGGTTAATTTACAAAAGTTTTCATAACACAAATGCATCAACATTTTTGCTTTGAATTTAGAGACATATTTAAATCCAAAACTTACATAATTTGGGGTTGAAATGATGTTCATAAATGTTACAATTCACATGATGGCACAATCTGAATAATAGAATATTAATGAAATAGTAGTAATTAATTCTGAATAATAGAATATTAACGAATATTAATGTAATAGTTTTATAATAGAATATTAATGAAAGCAAGTACACTGGACTGTCTTTCTATTATTTAATCGATTTTTCAAATAAGTGCCTGATACTAGCCTAAATTGTTTAAATTTATCATACATTTAGAAAACCAATACTAATGTTCTAGTACGACATCGACAATCTGTTCCACTGAATGGCAGACTAAAAGCATTGCAAGCGGATCGTGTGGAACACAATTACAATTCTCCGATTAGAATTCACAGTATTCAAAAGCTCAGCATCTAACGTAATGCGCAAATGGCTAATGTTAGAGTAGGGTTCTGCACTCCTTGCATATTAACTGCACAATTACCGCACTTAATGGATTACCTAAATGCCAACTTCAGTTGAAAATGATGTGGTTCTCAATCACCGAGAGCGTTGAAAATGGCTCTTTTGAAAATGAAGCTATTGTTCATTACAGGGGATTCATTAAGTTATAATAGAATGTATCATTTTGGTAAAGAAGAATACTTTATTATAACACATTCCTGTATAGCATAGTACATTTTATCAAAGTATGGAATATTAACATTATATACCTTAATTACACCAGTAATTTTACAGTGAACTAACATTTTATTATCTACTGCTTTATTAATCTAATAAACAGATCCAAACAAAGACGTAAATGTTAAATAAAATGTCATGATAAAAAAGCGAAACAAATAAGATTGTAGCAAAATAACAGCTATTAACGATCGACCATCAGAAGTTAAATAAAAATAAACAAATGAATAACAATCTAAATATTATAAAACTGAAATAGGGTTTAAACCGAGTACGAAATGTATTCAAATAAATGAATTATAATTTATAGTTTGTTAGAACATAATAATTGACAAATTTAATTAATAAAACGTCAGAGGAAATAGCATAAGGTCATCTTCAAGTGAGCAGAAAGGACAAAATTACTTAAAATGACATATCGTACAGTGTACTCTCGATTATCCGGAATTATTATTATTCGGTTTGCGGATTAACCGTGGGTGGCAGTGCCCACGCACGCACACTCAACTATATGCGGGAGAATATGTAAAAGACAAACATGCGCATTTCCGAGCATGCTCTACGAGCCGCTGAATTGCGTCTTTAGGTTTAGTTTCAACGATTACATCGTACGATTCGTTCCACATGTGTATAACCGAAGGCATCGTTTCGGTTGATCACTGGGAGTTTTTTTTCGCACTTATTTTCACGCATATTTTCTTATTCTTTTAAAAATTCATTTACAATTTTAAAACTAAAAAATAAATAAAGAACACATTGAGAGTACTATGCACAAGAAAGTTGTTTTAACATTAAAACAAAAACTTACATCAATAGAAGGATGTGAACTTGACGAATAGATCGTAAAGCTCACGGAAGAATATGGTATTGACATGTAAACTGTTCATGACATAGTTAAATAAATTCGAATACAGTCAAGCCTCTTCGGAGGACTCTCGGCTGTTTGCGTTTGAAGCACTCCCATGTCGCAGATACTATACATCTGCAAACATCCAAAACTTCTCCAGGATTCGAACTTGAGTTCAACGATACAGAAGCCAACGTTGCTAACCACCGTACTGATCAAAGCAGACATTTTAATGTTGGTTAGTGAAAAATAATTCAAAATTACGCAATGAAATTCAAAAATTGATTAAAAAACAAAATGACTGATTTTTTTCAGACGTCAACACATGCAATATACAAAAATTGATGGTTTAGATTATCCGAGACCTGCTTTTCCGGCATTAGGGCGAATAATCAAGAGTACACTGTAAATAATTGCTAGACCATTCAAAGTATGCAAATGGTTGTTATAAAAAGTCGTCTGTCTATAAAATATTTTATGCACGATGGGTAGAATTAAAAATTTCATAAATTTATATAGAATGAGCTCATATTTTTTTTTAATTCTTTGAAATTTATAAAACATTTACTAAAGTGTTTTGTATTAAACAAAAATCTGAAACACATATTTTAATGCAGAATTTGTTACTCAATCAAAAATAATCTTTCAAAAAATTTCAATAATCTTTTCTTATCAAAAATAATTTCTGTATGCGTTCTTTAATGCTAATCAGTATTTTTTGTATAATTGATATAAGATACGTAAGTCAACCTGAGACAAAATTCCGCGCTAAGACTGATGTCTATTATATTTTATACATTTCGAAAAAAATCTGAATATAAGTCTTTCCAAAAGAGAAAAATGTTTTGTTCCTTTATGCGAAATTTCAGTGCTTAGGTACGAAATTAAAAAATACTATTCAGGCATCATTAACTGAGTAAAACTGAGAAAGGAAGAGAAGATAATGTTTTCGCTCCTTTTTTTCCATCTTCTAGTTCTATTTCGCTTACATCGTAAGGTAAAATTAAGCTTACGGTGTAAGAGAAAGAATTGTTATTTATGTTTCATTTTATAGGATTTGTTATTTATGTTTCATTTTGGAAGAGAGAATTCTCTTTGAAGTAATGCCAATTCAAAATTTTATGATGCATAATTTTAAACTACCATAATAACCAGATAATAAAAACATAAACGTATGTCTACATACTTACAGCACAGATAAATTTTAAAATAAAAGTAAAGTTTTTTTCCTTTTAATTTTGTTCAAAAACGTTTTCTCCCTAGACAATAAAAATTAAACTTTTCTAATGTAGTTAATAAAAATTATTTTACGCATTTTTCGAATTTGTTCGAGAAAGACCACGTTTAGTAAAGTTTTATTGTTTGACATGACAGTTGCATATGCTGCGGTAATTTCATTTCATTAATTAAAAATTTAGTATTTAGTATAATGGCAAGAGGAAGAAGGAATGAAGTAAAAATGCTTACCAATTCCTCATCATTAAGGGACTGCCTGGGAACGGCTGAGGTGAGACCTGCGTTTCGTTTTGTTGCTGCCATGGTCTGAAATACCAATAATTCATTAATTAAAAGCAAAGAATTCTGAAGTTTGCAAAACATTTAATAAATTATATAAATGTAAAAAGCACTTCTTACTCAAACATAAGACAAACATATTCAAGAAAAAATTAATTTACAGCATTTCTGAAAACATTATAACATTTAAAATAAACGACAGTAAAGTTATTCATAATTATTTCACCACTACGTGTTAAACGAGACAGAAGATTCCAAGGCGTTTTTAGTTTGAGTGAAAATAATAGCTATTGCTTTTAATTTAAATGAACAACTTTTAATTTTAGCCGAATGAAATTTGTGTGAGTATTTAATGATCAGGATGAAAGTGTTTCTCTTTGTTGCAAACAATACTAAAATAGAGTTTCAGCTACCCGGATTCCAAATATCCGAAACTGCATATCCACATCGCTTTCGCTTTCTTTCGAAATCGAGTAAAATTATTTGCTGTTAATTAATTTAATTGTTTTCATTTTCTGGCTAGCTTGAAGCACTTTCCATTAAAATAAATTTATTGAAGTTTACTGCATTTTTGTTTTATAATATATCACAAATGTTAAGTGAAAATAGTAAATAAGAGCATGTATTACATTGTTTCTTTTGTAGCTTGACTTTGATTAAAAAAGATTAGTTTAATTTTCATTGAATAGAAATAAATAACAGATCAAGCCACTTTTTTCATTTAATCCTAAAATAATTCTAATATGTAGATTAAATTCAACGAAATAAAACCAAAATATGATTAGTTTTAGGGCCTATGGAAATTAAATTAATTTTATCGTCTCATTTCGCTTGCAGTAGAAATCGGTTGTATTCAGCCAAATGAAAAAAGCCATTATTTAATACTTCCGTAAAATTTTATTTTAGATTTGTTTCACAGGAATATAAATATTTAGTTTCTTTAATTGTATAATCTACGTAGTTACGCATTTAGTCGACAAGAAATAGGCAATCCATACAACCCGATTTTTCAAATATCTCTGAATGGGTTAAATTCCCATTAGTTCAGATATCTAACTTCCATATTATACATCGAATTACGTTTTTGAGAAAAGCCCTGTAAAAATAAACATTGTTAAGGAGAAATACTATTTGATTAGACTGCAACATATTTTCGTTGCGATCTATACTTCGTAAAAGATTTTTTTTTCAAATCGAAAAATGCTAGTCAAGTCATAGATTACAACACTTTACAGTATTTGATATAACAGTTTTTCTAACAAAGTGTATTTTGTAAAAGTATATGATTTTAAACAAGCAGTGCCATTTCATACCAAATCACAAAGCAAGAATTTGTAAAACTCGTCTTTTTCGTTTACAGTGTGAAGTATAAAATAAATAGATTAATTGGATGGTTGGTTGGTTGGTAACGGAGGACGGGGACGCCTGATGTCTAACAGAGGTAAACAGGCATGTGTCCCGCGCCCTCCACTAACCAGGAACAACTCCCTGGGGCCTCAAGAGGCCGCCTCGGGAGCTTTTTAGGATGTTAACAAGATCATTTACATGGCCATACAAGGGCAGATTGCATTTGTTTTACCGTTTTGACATTTGTTTGTTGCAATTTGCTATGGTAATTTTGCACATTCACAATAAAATTCTATAAATAAATACAAATTAAATATACAGATACAAAAATACAGTTACAAAATAATAGGATCAAAATACAGGCTCATAGGGAAAAAAAATAATAATAATAATAAAAAATAAAATAAATAAATAAATAAAATAATAAAAAAAATAAAAAATAAAATAAAATAAAATAAATAAATAAAAATTAAAAAAAAAAAATTAGTATTATGCATATACAGAAGAGGAAATGTTAAATACATTTGATTGTGCATTATTTGAAAGGTGTCTGTAATAGGGACTATGTAAATTTTAGGAGTAGTCTTATGTGTCTGAGAATGTGGAACTGCATGCTGACTTAGTTAGTGTATCATGTCTTGAGAGTTTTGGTTAATGAGGAGAGCACAAATCTTGGCCCATTCTCTTGAGCTTGTTAACAACTTTGCAAATTGTATTTACTGCCGGTTTGTGCTTTATAAGGAAGCGGTGATAAGCTTCACTATTGTTGATAGGAAGAGGGAGGTGATTTCCTGCTGTCAGATGGCATTCAAAAACATAGATTAATTGGATGATGGTAGGACCTCGAAAGAAAAGGTTTTCATTAATTGGATGATGAAAACCTTTTCTTTCGAGGTCCTACCCTTACAAAACTAACAGGAACTCTTGCCAAGTCTGATTTTTGTAATGGACCTCCGTTGCCAAGTTTTATCTTACTTCTTGTCCATCGTATTTCCATTCATACTTCTTCATAACGTAGCTACCAGCTGCATAAATATAATTTCATTGATCACTTACCAACAGTTATGAATGATACAGTTTGGTTACAATCTTTAATTTATAGTATAGTAAGACTTATGAATGAAAAAATATTTTTAAAGATTAGCGTTTCATTTACACACAAAGCAGTTACTGTAATCTAAGATTTGTATGCGGGAGCAAAGCAGTTACCTTTAGAAAATATCGATTGAATTAGAATTGGAAACAGTTTACGAATTACTAAAATCCCTATTTCGATTACTGTAATCTAAGATTTGTATTGTGAGCAAAGCAGTTACCTTTAGAAAATATCGATTGAATTAGAATTGGAAACAGTTTACGAATTACTAAAATCCCTATTTCGATTAAAAACCAGGTTTCTATGACTTCTGATAGCATTAAAATAATTCGAATAACTAAAAACATTATTTTTGGATAAACTATACTTAAACTTTAATACGATGCATTGCACTATTAATATTTATATATAATATACACCAAAAATACAATGCAGACACTTCTTTATTTTTTTACACATAAAAAAGAAAACATAAATTACTTAAAAACAATTCCGTATACATGAAGGACAACAGTAATGTAAATAGGCGTGCAAAGAAATAAATATAAACAAAGAAACTGTACCTTGAGCACCTTCACCACAGAAACCACGAAAGGAGGAGGAAAGGAAAGAAGTTAAAAATTAGAATTAATACCACCAATCATGAATTTAAAGAGTATCATAAATTTATTATAAAAAATCAATCACTTATAGCAAAAGAATCATGGCACAGGAAAACAGAGAAATACGCTAGGAATTTTGGGAATCTGTATAACACTAGCTTATTTTAGAGATACTTTAAACAATTTGAAGTAACTGCTTAAAGTAGTTACTTCAAACTGTTTAAAACTGTCTTCCCTCCATTATAAATTTAGGTAAATTCACATTAGGCTATATCACTTTTAGAGATAAAATAAGTTTATTATGGAAACTTTACTATCTGTTTAGGACATATATGCATGATAATTACTTTGAATTTCAATTACCTTAACTGAAAATTAGTGGGCTTATTTGTAATTCTTTACCTCAATCAGATTAGGATGGATATCTGCCACTCAATAGGGCTTGATAAGATTGTTACTATTATCTAGTATGTAACATGGCGCAATGATTGAAAGACTATTATGACTACATGTCTTCTGAAAGATTAAAGACAAATGTGTTTTGAAAGACTATTTACTTCGACAATCTTTCACAGATCTTGTACAGGTTACATGTCTGATGGGATCATGTTTTGTATCATAGAATGATTATTGCACATTACCACCTAGTCAAAGGATGGTATGTCAGTACGCTTTCAGAAGTTTATTGATGATGAAATAGTAAATACCACAATAGCCTCTAATGCGAAAAGTAACGAAAATGTAAGTTGTTCTAACTTTCAGCTGATTTGCTTCAGGTTTGAGGAAACCATCATCATAGCTTTACTTGATTACTTTTAATTCTTTCTCTGGAAATTATGTTTATTTCAATATTTCAATCCAGCTTTTTTACGGGTCCTTGGAGCCAACTATGTACAGATTTCTTAACGTATCAGTTAAAGGTAACTACATAAATAATTAATATTTGAAAAACTTTAGTTTTGTTTTCGGTCAAAATTACAAGAACCAGTTCATAAGCCAAAAAACAAGTTCATTTATGGAAACACAGTGTTTATTATATTTGGAATAGATTATATTTTTGCAATAAATTAGCTTATAGATTTATTTTATTATTAAAATAAAACAAAAAGACCAATTAAGATAAAAATTGTCTTACCAACTCGCTGACCAAAGGAATAGATTTACGCCTGGGTCGAATATCAGGCATTGAATCGATATTACTATAAAATGGATTATCCCCTGGCCTGAAAAAGACAAATAAAAAAATTAAAATCTTTTGGAAAGTATCCTTCACACAGCTTGATTTAAATTAACCTAATAATACTAGTAAAACTCCAAATCGTATTCCTCTTCGCATCTCAATTTCTTAAATGAACATTTTCGTGGAGTCAAGGAATTTTTACATAGTTCTTCTTTCCTATCTTTTCTTTTTTTTTTAAACTTTTTCCTTTGCCTTTTTTTTTCTTTCAAGGAATTCGAAGTAAAACCTTTTTTTCCTGAATTTCTAATATTTTATCAAAAAGTAAAGAAATATATCTTCAATTTTGATTTCTTATTAAAATTATTACAATCAGGTAAACGAAATTATAATTTTCTTTTCTTCTTTTTCTTTAATTTAATTTATAATTAATAATTTTCTTAGCTGCTTCTAGTAAATTTCAACATTTTATTCAGGCACACGTACCTAATTTTTAAAATTCTATTATGGTATTTCCCATTTTTAGATTCTTTAAAAACAAACACACTTTAATATCCTTTTTTATAATCCCTATTTGTTTTGTATCAGCATAAAGTCACTCTAAGATTGATGAAAAAGAACATAAATAAAATCGCTCTGCACAGAATCGTTTGTGAGCTCAAAATTAAATTTTGGACATTAAATAACAGTTAGATACTTTTTTACTTCCTTGTACGAAGTGAAAAGGAAGTATTGTAATCGTGAAAAGTTTCAGGCAGCATATTTCAACGAAAATATCCATTTTGACCGCTATTGAATGCAATTTAACGATGTTTTTGCGTGATATCCATACGTAAGGACAGAATAAAAGACTCTTTTTCTCCAAAAAAAAATATAAAACTGCTTTAAAATGAATTCTGAAGAGAATTTTTCGTGGCGTCTGTACGAACGTATGTACGTACGTGCGTACGTACGTATCTCGCATAACTCAAAAACGAGTAGCCTCAGAACGTTGAAATTTTGTATATAGGACTGCTATAACATGTAGATGTGCATCTCATTTTGGTTGCAATCGGCCGCACGAAACGTATATAAATATATTTATATATGTATCCACTTTGTTACCCGGCTCAGTAATCTCAGTTTCTTTACTCTTATATGTTTGTAAATTGTACATTTTTTGCTTTAAAAATGATTGAATTATATTGTTTTTATCTTCCGGTTAAGGTTTTTATGTCTTTAGTAAATGTCTATGCAATATTTTAGAATTATCAACAGTTTTAAAGTTGTTTAAATGTCGCTAAGCCTAATCCTTTTCTTGATGGCGGCCATTGTTTGTTTACATTTGAAACAGCAGAATAGTGGATTTGTTGCCAATCTAAAGAAACTTAGCTTCGCGACAACAAAGATAACGCCTACATTTATTATTGCCAATTAAATTATGCTTAATTCTTTCTGGAATTTTTTCGAGGAAATAAGTGTTTAAGATTTACTTCGTAATTTTTAATATAGATATTTTGAGTTTTTATGTATTTTTGCCTTCTCGCGAAGTGAAAACTGAATTAATTGAATGAGAAATACTCAATCGTCTGTGAAAAACTGTTTCTTTTTTGTTTTGTTTGCTTAATTTCTTTTATACATCGTTCTAGCTTTATTATAGTATTTGAATAGAACATGTGGCAACGATTAGATAATTCTATTTTTTAAATGATATAAATTTTGTGCATTATGAGTTATAATATGAACGAAATGTAATACTGTTAAGTAAATCTAGCGCCAGAGTGTCGCTCTGGTAAACAAATACTAGAGTGAATTTTAAAGAATGCATTTATTCTATTGTAGTTTATGCGCTGTCGGCGAAGTAGATTTAATTCAATCCAATAAGTTTAAATGAAATGGAAGAAAAAATGTGTATAATTTAATATTTCGTACAAGGAAGTCATGTGGTGTACACATCAGATTTTTTATTAAAAGGAAAGCTTAATATTTCAGAGTTATGTGCATTAGATGTACAATGCAGAAAATCTGAATTCATCAGAATGGAGGTATTCTCATACGAAAACAATTTTTGACATAAATACTTTTAATACTTATTTTTTCATTAAAACATTTCAGTATTTAAATTGATTAATACAGGAGTAATTTTTTTAAATAAAAAATTTAAATGACTGTGTGAATAATAATAAAAAGAAGAAATCCATTGGTAAGTCGGGAAAGATAATCTCTCCTTCCCGTATTTATAATCTATTATTATTATTATAATTTATTAACAAATTGAAGTAGTACTTCAATTTGTTAATAAATAATAACACAATATTTTCCCAACATTTCTAATTTCTAAACTTAATAGTCGACTGAAAACATTTTAAAATGAATATCCTATTTTAAATTTATAGTGTCTCAGCGATTTTATCAATGATACAGATATATCAGCTTTATTTCAAGTCATCAGAATTATTTATTTACAACCACTCTTCTATTACATGTATAATAAAAAGAATCAGAGTAATCAAAAGAGTTTAAAATCAGAAAGTATAGTAGTTTTACCTTAGCTGTAGCTTTGTTTGAACACGACTGCAAATATGCATCTATTTTCACATGTATATATTTAGACATTTAGCTGTAACCCTTATCTTTAACGTTTTACATTTAGACCTTTATCCTTGTCGCTGAATTATTTATTCAAACATCAGTTATTAAATATTAGCAAAATAAAATTGTTTTTCTTTCATATATTTATCATCGCTTATAAATATATTTATCATATATTTATCATAGCTTATATTGCATTATTTATCATCGCTTATAAAACCCACTTGTTTTAAAAAACGTTATTCAAAATGTTTTTGGTAAAAAAAAATAGTATATTCAAAAAGTTCCGAAAACGAACTCACGTAAGTGCTGTAACTTTGAACAAGCACTTTATACTAATTCCGATCCTAATTCCAATCCATCTTTGTCTTCGGCCTTTAAAGAAATTATGTTTTAGTTCTGGTTTCATCAACAGATGGCGCCACTAGCTTATTTTCTGCCCAGGCTTTCTTATCTGATCATTATATCCTATCTCGCTCATTTGCGCTTTTGCAGCTGACGATGGTGGTTCGGTAAAACCATCGAAACTAGTCCTGTGAAAATTTGAAAATATAACGCTGATTTTTGTTGTTTGACTTCTGAATTAGTATTTGCTCGGCGTGTTATTGTGTCTTAATTAAGCACTTTATATTTAATAAAAACTTGAAAATAACGGGACATCCAATACTTAGCTTGATACTTATTAACTAAAACTACACTTTTCATGCACTTTGGCATGGATTTAACTTTTTTTTTTTTTTTTTTTTTTTTTTTTTTTTTTTTTTGTGGCGTAAGAATGGTCTATTACTCTGAAAGTATTTCTTTCAATGCAGTTTTCGTAGAAATTTAATGTTTACTTATTATTTTTTTCCAACTCACTCCATACACGCTCAATAGGATTTAAGGCTGAATAAAATGGAGGTGTTTTGATAACTTCAGGACAGTTGTATAACAACCACAAACGGACATTCAGGGATGCATGTTTAAAATATCCTGGTAGAACTTTAATGGATATTGCATTCCAAGTTTTGTTGCACATGCTTTCAGTTTTCATTAAGAATATTTATACATTTAAACTGAACCATATTATTTTTTTATGAAAAATAAATTTCCTCTCTCAGGCGCAGTGAAACGTTCAAAAACCATTATGTTTCCACTTTCATGCTTATTATTTGGAAACACGTTTTTTGGATTCAATTATTCATTTGGCTTTCGCCTACAGTAGTCTGACCATCTTTAAAACGGCGAACAATTGCATTTCGAATGGAACTTATTAATTATTAGCTTCTTCCCAAGTTCATTTCAGATATGAAACTATCTATAAATTTTTCGCTTAACAAGTAATAATTTCTAAATGCGGGCGATAATTATTTTTATGTATTTTTACTTAAAACAAAAAATTATGAGAAGAAACATCATCTGCCAAAACATCTCGAACAATACGTTCGAGTGTCCGAATTATTGAGTTACTGATTAACACTTTTGGAATAAATTATGTTATTGCAAAGAATATTTTGATTACATTTATTTTGTAACATTCAAGTCTTAATACTAGAAAAAATATTTTTTTTTGTGTTTCAATGTTTAGTACAACATCTAAGCAAAACAATTTCAAAAATGCAAGTGTCCGAAAACAAATATTGAACCAATGTGTATAAAAAAACGAAAAATATTTCATTTGTGTTCTTTTACTGGAAGTTCACATAAATAACTGAAGATGCACATATCAAAATAATAAAATCTTCTTTACTTGACATAACTGCCGCATTTCAGTGGAATTCACGCGGCGCAAATTCATACAAATTCACTGATAAAAATTTAGATGTAACATAAAAAGAATAACATTAAAATTTTTCTATAAAGAAAATTCCATATATTCAGATGTACAGACTGAGGTCAATGCGTTTTACAGAATATTCGCTAAGCGTTGCCACACATTTTCTTAAAATTAACTTACAACTGATTTATAATATCGTCTAAAATAATTAGAAATAGAAAATTATAACGTTTATATTTAACGGCTTAGTCGTAGTTTGTTTTAAATAAATTCTTAAAACGAATTCATTTCAATTATTTGGTTTTACGTATTACTCTTACACAGAAAGATGAGCAAAATATACATCATAAATATGACAAACTTTCTGCGTACAAACGTGAGCAGTAAATGAAAACTATGATCAAGTAAAAGCACGAAATTTAAAGTTGTTAGAAATTTAAATATGTTTGTTAGAGGAAAGAAAAAATGTTATTATGATTTAAAGCGAATAATACTTTAAACTAAAATTTGTATGAATGCAGACAATTTGACCTGATTTAAGGAAAAACAAGAACGAAAATTTCATTAAAGAAGGATCTTAGATATATCTCCTCAAAAGAGTTGGTAATTACTACATGAAATAAAGCACTGAAAATCACATTTTGAAACGAATGATTATAAACTTCAGTTTTCATGGTAAATAATATTAACTCTAAAATATAAGCTTCTAGTTTATGAAAAGATTCGACAAGACTCATGTAAGATAACTGTTTAGGTATGAAAATCCTCAGATGATTCATTTTAGAAGTACTTAAAAATTCAAACCTTCTCCGTAACTAAACGTTCATTTCCAGAGACTATGTATCATTATATGCCAAACGTATTTAAAATAAGGATGGCATTTAAAAGCCTTCATAAACAAAGTAATAATAAATTATTAGCTCAAACGGGGGTCATTAGTCTCAAAATGGGATTTTGCGTTAGTTCACTATAAATGGCGAATATTTTTTCAAATTGTGACTACCAAATATTATCGTTCCATATTATTTTTAATCTAGTTTTTAAAGAAATAATATAGCGAATACAAAAGTATGTATGGCAACCTCTAACACTTTATCGAGAACTCTAAAGATACGCTTTTTTTAATACTTTGTGATTTGAAATGAATTTTATGTGGCGTAAGTGAGGAGAACGCGATATTTAATACATAATGTTAACACATAAAAAGTTAAGACATAAAAAAATAAAATAAGGGTTAGCAGGAATGAGTGCAAGACCAGATTGGTATACTGCGAGCTCAGCGAGAGCGTTCAATACCTTAACAAACACTTTTGACAGACCGTTAAAACCTGAAACCTTTCAATTTTTATTTTGCTGATCTTTTTTTTTTTTCGTGCAAGTTAATATTTTATTTCATGCAACGACTCGTCACATGACCGAATGTAAACGCACGAGTTAACTATACGCGATTTCATGAGTAACTATAATCTTATATTTTAGATAAAGAATATTGCCGACAGGAAGCGTTAACGTTTAAAGTTTATTTTTTTAAAGTTAAGTGCGTTATTCTAGGATGGTGCAGAGTGGAACCCCATAGCCTTGAATTTGTAATTTGCGAATATGTTGTTTGTAGACAAATATTTTGTTGTATTAGAAAAATATATACATACGTGTGTTTTAAATATTGAGTGCTATGCTTAGAGAAAATATCGTTAAAGAGAATAATATAAAACAAAGAGATAAGAAAGAAACGTTTTCTTAAAAATAAAGCTTTGCTTCATTTTTTTCAATAGCTTAGCTTTACAATCATAAAATTCGTAATAAATGCAACTAAGCTCCATTTTCTACAAATAAAGTAATTATTATCATCCTATGTATGACGACATTTGTGCCACTTTGTACAATGAATTTCCGTAAAAGTCAACATAATTTTATCTCATATCAAAGATAAATAAATAAATACGCAAACAGAAAGACTGTATAATCTTTGTCTTTTAAACAAGACTGTATAATCTTACCCGCCATCCTTCGTCCATAAGCTACGAACTGCATCTGTAGAACTTCCTCGCACATTTCCACTCTAGAATGAGAAAGGGTAAATTAAATAAGTAATTTTACAATATTTTCAAGCATTTTCATCTCAAATCATCTAACAGAATCTACATTAAAAATAAAATTGGCTACCTCAACAATCTAATTGCTTTATTTCTCCCTCAACGAAACCATTAAAATGGAGATTAAGGCTATCTCGGCGTAGTTTGCATTTAAACGGAATTATTAATTTAGAAAACGGTATCTATTCAAACTTCGTGATTCTTGATAAGATTCCGATTTTAAAAATAAATATTTTAAGAGCTTTCGAAGACAATTATTCTCGATTTTAAATTTATTTGCCAAACATCTTTTACACTGATCAGGAGAGAAAACATATCAAATTATTCCATTTGGTTTCTCTGAAAAATGTTTTGCTGGATTTTAATTGCTGTTTTAATGGGAATGTATTTTGGCATGTATCGTTTCAGATTATTAATTGGAGTCCGAGAAACAGTTTGTTTTATATCTTTATTTTATTTCCTTTATCTTTACATCTTTACTTTCATTTATCCTCTACGTATTTTCTTACATGTTTATTTTAGTTTTTACCCGCCATTAGCTTTAAGATATTTCCCAATTGTCCATGCATTTATATTTACGAAATTTAATCTAAAAGTTTTCTGATTTCATTTGTACAAAATATGGTGCCAAAGCAGCGGCAGGAACAATTCTCTTTAGTTACATAAGCATGGCATTACATTTCGCTCAAATTTAACTTTTATTTTATTAATTTAAATTTAATAATTTAAAAATGGAGAATACAACTTCAGTTTTACACATACGGAACTCCACCCTTAACACTGTTGACACTGCTTTCATAAAATACTCCATCTTACTTAAACACACTTTGCAACAGCAAAGGTTAACACGTAAGAAAATTCGGCCTGTAGCCAACATTTTCGAAAACAAACTGTACATTAAATTAAACAGCTTACAAAATAGCTCCATTCTCAGCGATTTTCCAACGAACACATTTACTGGCTAAACTTCAGTGAAATTTGTTAGCAATTATAGTTCAATAAATCTTGACTGAAAATGAAAGCCTCATTAAAATAGGCTCATAGTTTGAAAACTAGTTTACTGTGTAGTCATATTCTAATAATGATTAACCACTACGAGAACTATAAATTGTTAACATATCTTCGAACAAAAATAACCCAATACCAGGCAGTTAATTAAAACTTGGCAACAGTTTAGAAAATGAAATTTTGAAAAGAAAATCTTTCAAATATCAGTTTTACTTTTAAATCAAATTAATGTTTTTATAATAAAGTATAACAAATATAGGAATAATGTTTTTCATAACTGTTTTATAACTCTTGGAACTAAGCCTGCAATGCATTGAAAATCTTGCATATTTTAAAATACAGTTTAAATATTAATCGCGTTCTTCTATTTAATAGTTACTGCTATCAAAACAATTCTAAAATTGCTGTTATGAATGATTACTGAAGTTGAATGAAAAACTACGAACTCATGTCTTTCATTTCAACTATACTACAGGACTGAGTAAACTAATTTACAGGTCAATAATAAGTTGATAAACTTCTAATACCGATAAACATTCACTCCTAAGCTATATTTCTTTATTAATAAAATATTAACTTTATTCTTCACAAGACCAATGCATTATTGAATTTTGCACGAAAGACCTTATCTTTCAGTATCCAATATTCAGTCACGGATAATTAATTAAAGTAAGTCGTTAAAACAGATGTTAGCTCATAGTTCATTTAATTAAGAAACTTCTTGGTGATTGGGCATCCAATCCCAGATGACGGAAATTACATCAAAGAAGATACAGCAATAAAAGTCATTCAGATTCACCCAGACAGCCATTTCTGCCTCGAAAGTACCAAAATTGCAAATCGAAACTCGTTCATCGAGAGCTGAAGATTAAGCCAGCAGTCGAAGACGCCTGCCGTAGATGGCAAAGATTTCTAGTTTTAATATCCACTTAAAACTCCTGATGGCGGACTTTTCGAACCAGGAGGTAAACATAATCCCGAAAAAATCGCATATCAGGCGATCCGTAAAAAGTTCCTTTTGAAACAACACCGGAAGTATAGGGGAGACAAATTGGGATGGAGAACGACCACTTTAGAAGGGTCTTCTAATTGGAACTTCTCCTTCATTAAGTCAATAATGGCATCGATCGAAGCTTCCGAAATGTTAGAAAAAAAAAAAAAAAAAAAAAAAAAGAAAAGGAAAGGAAGAGAAGCCACGTATACGTTTATAGCGGTAATTAGCAATTTAGTCCATATTTGTATTTGAATAGAGATGACGGTTTGGTCTGTATCTGATACTTTCATAGAACGATCATTTAAAAGATTGCGTCCCCTTTATATAAATTGAAATTAGATATTCAGAGGTCACTTCTGAAATAAATTAAAAACATCGAAATCAGTTTGTTTTGTTTCCAATACAGCTAACGGGCTCGTTGCATAGACGTTTTCACAGTTTTTATAGAAGTTTTACAAAATTAAAAATATGTTACAAACATATATAAAACAAAATTATGCGCCTCTCAGTGTGGCCGATATTTCCAAATGGTGTGAAAGAAAGACCATTATTATGTTTTCATACGTTTCTTTTTATACTTGTTACTTTGGTATACCGTAGCCAATGCATCGCAAACGTGTTTCATGATTTCACAAGCTCTGGTTAATGTATGTATTTACGTTTATTAAATTGTTTAAAAATATTTAGCTGCTTATTTGTACATATTTTAAAAGCATCTCCAAGTGTAGATTTTTCACATCGCGGCCGACGGTGATTTACTTTTCTTGTTTAATATATAAAACATATTAAAAGATAGTCTAAATTTAAATACATATACTATATGCAGTTTTCGAATTGTGGAAAGGAGGGGAAAGCAATGATCGTCTGGCAGTACTGAAAAGTCTACATGGGACAAAAAAGACTGAGAACCACTGCTCTTGAACAAATAGTAAGCATTACTTTTGTTACCTCAATATTCAGGGGGGGGGAAACCTCCCCCTTTACTTCTTCCACGACATTAAGAGTAATATTATTGAGAAAGACACAACAAAAATAAAACTCACTGGTTTCTTGAGGATCTTCGAGGGCGAAGTATGTCCATTAAATTGTAATTAACGGAGCATTCATCATGTTTGATTGCGCTAAGAAAATTATTTCGGAGAGTCAATCTCGCTCACATGTGACAGCATACTTTCGCTTCTTTTCTTCAAAAACTTTTATCTGGCAAAATCATTAACTAAGTCAGGGAGTTGTTACTATTATCATTCTTCTTCCATGGACTTTTGGTAAGTTGGTAAATCATCTTTCTTTTTTGAAGGTATAACTATTTTCGTAATTAGAAGTTGGACAAAAATGAGGCCGCAAAAAATTTTATGAATGCTGGAAATTTCTTCATTCCCTGAAAACTGTTCTGTGCCCAAAAATTTAGTTCTGAAAAACAAACATTTTAAGTGTCCCGAAACTAGGATATCGAAATTTTTCCCGAGATATCACATCGCAAGCCAAATTCCAGTTGAATCAGTCAGAGTTGTATGAAGTGTCTGTCAAGAATTATACTAATGTGGTATCTAAATTATAAACATTTAAAGCTATTTGACGAACATTATTCTCATGTTAAGAGTTTAAAAAAATATAATTTGAAACTTTTCTTTCCACTAAACTTCTTTTTATTATTTCTTCAGGAAGTGGTTATGAACCCATTTCAGCTTGAAGAAACGATTTCAAAATATGTTCCATCATCTACTGGACTACGGCAGAGTTTCGAACAAAACAACATGAGGATAGTTCATTTTTTGCATTAGTTTCTGGAAAGGCATTATTCATTACCGAATAATCAAAATTAAATTAAAAAGTACGTTCTAGAATTTTTCAGACAGATCTTGAATAACAGAAAGACACATATTTGTTTCATAAATCAATTATTTAAGTACCAAAATTATTATTATTTGTTTGTAACGAGAAACGAATTAAATCAGATTTATGTGCAGCAAAAGCAGTTTTAGAAATGCAGTATTTTCTCGTTGAAACGTCAAGTTTGAGCCAAGAATCAAAGCCACGAAACGGAAAGACCGAGAATTAAAAAAAAAAAAAAATCAAATATTTTAAATGTTAAAAGGATCCTTTTTTTGATGTAAAAAGGGCTGCAAATATTCATAAAAAATATCAAAAATACACATTATAAATGAAATGCTTTAAAAGTTATGCTATTTCTCCAGATTATTAAAATTAAATTAAGCTGAAACTGTCAAAGTCAATGAATGAACTAAGGGCTGACGGTGATCGCAACGGTACGGCTTATTAAATTACCAAAAATTGCGTCTATTACTTTTAAATGGTTTAATGTGCTAAGTAATAACAGATTGCTAAAATATGAAAAACAAATATTCTCAAGATTTGATTTTTTTGCCCAATGGTAGTACTCTCGCTGCAAGGAACGAATTTAAGATATTAAATTTGAGATCATTGAATTTAAAGTTGTATGGATGATGAATACGGTCACAAGGTGTGAAGTAGTGCAGTAATTTTAGACTAAAATAAAAAAAAATAGAAATAAAATAGAAAGACATTATTAAGACCATTGGTCTTCTATGAAATATGGGTTGACAGTCATCGTACAGGGCAATATAATATTTATAGTTTCCTTGGTATGGGGCAGTGCGTAACATAACGCTCTAAAATATTTGAAAAAACTCTCCTAAGAATTGTTTTAAAGTTATGTACGTACAAAATGAATTTCAGAAACCATTGTATTTCATTATAAAAATATAAAGCAGCCGACAAAAAATAAAAAGATATGCACTGCATAAATCAAATAAAATGAGATCGTATATGTGTGTGTACTTATATTTAAATGGAAACTGCAAAATGTCCATTTTTGTGCGTATTTATTTGTTTAAAGTAATGTAAGCATGATTTACAAATTTATTCTTTACATGTTTCTGAAATTCTGAATTATCGTGTGGAATTATCATAGACCTTTCCATG